GCTTGTCTTCCAAGCCGGCCCTGCCGGGCGCCATGAGGCTCGCTGCCCCCCGATGCTACCCTGCCGAATACTGGCGGTGGCGGCAGCATCAGCGGCAACTCCGATGACAACAGCAATGACAATGACAGCAATCCTGCCCACACCCTGTCAGCACTTTACCAGCACTTAAGGACATTTGCCTTCGTTTAGAGAAGCCCACCCTTGCAGGTTTATTGCGAGTACTTCATTAAAATGCGTAGACTAAATATATATGAATGCATATAATAGAAGGCTGGTTTTCTTAGTTTTTGCTGCGTGCCTATGCTCACAACATCTGGAGCAACGATTACCATTTAAAGGACATCGCAAAGGGGGGTGGTGATGACGTTGGCATGGCTCAAGAATCCATCATTTGCTTGATTCCTTCCTTTCCGGTTTACTCGGTCGACAGACGCCTGCGGCGCGCGCAGTTTTACCGCTGACAGCGATAATTGCTTCCACCGCTTCCATCGCCACCACCGCAACCACCGGCTCCACCACCACCGCAATAATCGCAACCACCAGCTCCATCATCACGAACTCCTCCATTGCTTCTACCGCCACCACCGCCACTGCCACCACCGCAACCACCGCCACAACCGCAATCACCATCACCACAACCACCGGCTCCACCACCACCACAACCACTGCAACCGCCACCACTGCCACCCCCGCAAGCACCGGCTCCACCACCACCACCACCGCCACCACAGCCTCCACCGCAACCACCGCCTCCACCACAACCACCGCCACCACTGCCACTACACCCTCCAGCACCACCACCACCCTCGGATTTTATGCCTTGCACCAACACCAGGGCGCTTACGTTAGCCGTGCACTGTTCCTTCAAGCACCCTGTTACTCATTTTAGGCACTGTTGGTGGGGTTTTTTTGTGGTCATTTCGTCTCCGTCGCCGCTACTCCTTCTGCTGTGCTCATGCAGCACCACCATGGGCGGATCTCCCACGTAGAACAGCGGGGCAACTGGACACTCAAAGGGACCATCGTCCACATAATAAACACACTCAATACTCACACTCTATGTATCTCTATGGGTCTCTATGTAAAATAGCCAGGTATCTTGGCTACTAAAAATGGCACCATCGTCTGCGTTACAAACCAAGTAACCTTTACAAGTGCGCTCCCCGTTATGATCACAGTTCACAATGCCCCCGATCGGTGTGCTCTCCGCGGAGGAGTTACAACGTGGCGGTTTGGTGAATTTTGTTTGATTTGCAGGTGTCAGCAAGAAGGGCTGCGGTTCGATCCCTGGTCCAAGTGCCCTTTCTGCATGGAATTTACATTTTCTTCCCCTGTTCAGCATGGGTTTCCTCTGGCTTCTTCAGTTTCCTCCCCGAGCTAAGAATAAATATATAAAACCACGTACGATGTAACTGGTGTGGTATTTGCCCAAACATCCCAAAGCTGAACGATTGCAGTGGACATCTCCCCCCATTTACGTCGTTTCGCACATACGTCATCACTTGATTACAAACACCGTGAACCCCGATTTGCTGTCGCCTCAAACCCCACACGCTCACGTCACTGACGGCATCGTCATCCGTCCTTTCCCGTTATCCATCGCCTCTCAGCCGGTCCTCCTCCACCACCTACTACTGCCCCGTAAATCGCCTCGACGTACAAATACGTCGTTTCGATATTCGTCGCCGCAACTTTCAGAAACGCGTTGCCCCTCCATGGACGTACACAGCGGGGTAATTGACTCTGCTTGTGCACGGCTCCAGTGGTGTCGCGTGCGCAGCAAAAGCATCGCCCTCTGCCGTGAGCAACTCCCCCCACCGCCCCCCCCCACCCCCCATGTGGGAAGCGTTGCCGGTGCTTGGTGGGGCCGTGATGCAGGGCCTCTGGCAAACGCCGCCACCCCGTGAATGAACGGACGAATGAAAGGCAAGCGGATGAAGAAGCACGCTGCAGCACCGCACCTCCGATTAGCACGGTTGGCTACGTGCGGACACGTGGGTGACATTCAACATGAATGCATACCCCTAATTAATTATTAATTAATTTTTAATGTTTTTATTTTATTTTATTATTTCCATTCATCGTGACTTAACCGAAAGAACCAAGAAGATGAATCCCTGCAGTCACGAAAGCTTTAAATCGAAAAAAAAAGAATAAATACATATGCAGAGCCAGAGTGTTGTCGAGATGCATTCTGAGGATTCAGATCTCACCTTGATGGGGGGGGCTCAGAGCTCCGGGAATGCCTTATTAATGAGCAATAAAGCTGGCTGCAAACGCGCGCGATTGTTCAATGACTTATTAATAACAGCTCGGCAGATTTGTTTATCGTGGAGTGGGAAGCGGGCGCAACTATTAAGCGGCGGTGCTTCTGGGTCGTTTGGAAGTTGACTTGAGAGCCGCGCGCAAATGGCAGCGGAGAGTTGATGAGAGCCGGGGGATGGGGAGGGGGTGGGGGTGGAGGTAGAAAGAATTACACTCGCTTGAAAATGAAATGTTCTTCGCGAAAAATAAACGTTGATGTTTTGCAAGCCCCGCCACCCACCCCCCCTCCCCAAATAAATATATAAATCTCGTTCACAATTTCTCCCCCCCAAAAAAGGGGTTCCGCACACTGGCGCGGCAATATAGATGGTGAGGTTTGGCAGTGGCGCTTTGCGAACGAGAACAGAGTGTTGATCTCTGCGCGTCTCAGGAATATGCGACGGGTGCCATCGAGGCGGGCGGCAGCGCACGGCCGTGCATAGAGGACGAGGGAGGAGCGTAGAGAGATCGGGGCGACTGGGAGTGGCTCGGAGGGCACTTCGCCGAGCTTGGGACCTTCACGATTGAGGATCTGGTGTTCGGATCCGAGCCTTCGCCGAACTGGTTAAGAGTTATAAAACTGGTCAACAACAAAAAAAACATTTTTTTTCTGGCCTGGACTTTTGCAGCTGTTTTAGACTAATTTCAGGGTGCTGATTCCAAATCTGATCTCAGATTTGCTCTATCACATCTCATTTTGAAATCCTTTATATTAAGTTCGCTTGCTTGCTTGCTTGCGTGCTTGCGTGCTTGCTTGCTTGCTTACGACCGTGCAAATTTTTCGGTCGTTTTTTAACCCACTTCCCGTGATCAAATCGAGCTGACATTTTGCACACAGACTCGTTGTGCGTGACAATGCATTTCGTGAATTTTTTTTTCCAAATTTAACACTGTTTAGGGAAAAAAAATTACATATTTAATTACCAATTGTTTAATGCTGCCAGACAATCATCTGACCCATAGGTGGCAGCCATCTCAAGCCAGAGGACGAGAAGACTCTTTCCGCCCGTTTCAAAGACCAATGTGGGCTGGATTGTGGCCCATTGAACACGCATATAAAGGATTTAGAGTGAAAAACTTTGTTTTTACGGGTTAAATTTTTTATCCTGTATATTAAGTTTACTTGCGCGCTTGCTTGCTTACGACCGTGCAAATCTTTCGGTTGTTTTTTAACTCACTTCCCGTGATCCAATCGAGCTGACATTTTCCACACAGACTCGTTGTGCGTGACAATTAATGTTCGTGAAAATTTTTTTCAAAAATTTTACACTTTTTAGGACAAAATCATCTGACCCATAGGTGGCAGCCATCTCAAGCCAGAGGACGAGAGGACTCTAGCCGCCACGCATATAAAAGATTTATAGTGAAAAACTTAGTTTTTACGGGTTATACTTGTTATTCTATCGGCATACCCCATTTTCATTGATTTTACCCGAAATTAACTCTGTCACTTATGATTGCAAGTTGTTGCGAGTCAGTGACTGCTTTAGTGTTAAAATATGGTGCTGTATTTTTAGGATAGTGTGTTTATAATATAATTCTATGTAGATTTCCACATTTATTTAATATTTTTCTTCTGCAGTTTTTATTGAAAATGCAATATTTGATATCTCAAATATTGCATGGAATCAGCACCCCAAAATTACCTTAAAACCGTTGGAATACCTTATGCCAGAAAAAGTGTGTTGACCAGTGTATTCAATTGTAAAAATGCGCATGCCTTCTTTAAAGAGATGGGTTTTCAAAGCAGACTTAAATATATCTACAGGCACTATTTTACTTTACTTTACCGAGTGTTAACATTCCCAGTTATTTTTTAACAGTACTCTCTTCATTGTTCAGCCAGCATTGGTATAAACAGGGGCATTTTCGTTCTTTTGTCTTTCATGTGTATTAGGCCTCCCCTCCCCCTCTCTGCCCAATGTGTTGAGCACTCCGTGCTGTCTTTGAGCCCCTCCCCCCTCCCTCCCGATACGTTTCCATTCATTGGCTACCACATTCTGATGAGCCCCCCCTCTCCTCCCCCCTTCAACTTGCTTATAAGGGATTACATCTTGAATCATTGCCTCACTTGATGCAGCTAATTCGGCTGTGACGGTCCCGCCTGATGACGGAGACTTGTGTTGCCTCCGAAACGTCGTGATTTTTGTTTTATTTTATTTTATTTTCATTAATTTTGATGTTTTACCTACGTGACTTTACCGAAAAATCCTAAGAATATATATCTACCGACTTTGATTGCCGGATTTCAAGTAGCAAGGCGTTCCATAGCTGGGGTGCCACGCTATCAAAATCCTAATAACCATAATGGTGCAAAAAAACTCCGACACACATTCGTCAACAACACTGCCATTATTGATCATTTGTAATGGACGTTGTTGGGTAAGATCGCGTGAATATCAATGTGTCGTTTAACCTGCCACCACCCGACACAACCAATTAGTAAGGTTTGTCACGCAAACAAAACGTGCCAATTAGTTACGAGTTCAGCACACCGGTTGTCCATTGTAGAGTAAACCTACGACATTTACAAAGCCTACATGAGAAAATAAAAAGGGATCCTTGCCCAAAACGTTAGTCTTGGACAACGGCCCCCAGCCCACCCCCTCGCCCCCTTCCTGGATCCGAATGATTTTTTAACTCGACCGATCGTCACCGACCCGTCACGGTGACTCTGCGGACGCGGCGCATCTCACCGCTGGAGCGCGCCGCTCCGCCAGGCGTCCGGTCCACGGCGATGTCCTTGCCCCGCCCCCAGTCCACGTTCGCCGGCGTGCGGATCCGCACCGGCGACGTCGTCCCTTCTCCCCGTCTGCCATCGCCATCGCCGTCTCCTCCCGTCCCCGCCTCCTCCTCCTCCTCGCTCTCGCCGTGCTCGTTCACATTCCTGCCATCGTCGCTCCCACGTCTGTCTCCAGTCTCTGTGGTCGTCGCCGTCGCTGCCGGCGCCGCCGACGCCGCCGCCACCGCCATCCCCCCGACCGGGCTCGGCAAATCCTCCCCGTCCTCGATCGAAGACAGGTCCTCGTCCGCAGCCGTGGGGCCCCACTCCACCGTGCCGTTGTACGTCGTCGTTTCGGCTTCGCCGATGCCGCCCCTCCAGCCGCCGCCGGCTCCCAAGTATTCCGGGGCCTCCGTCGGGGCCTTCCGGGGCGGCCGAGGTTTGGGCCGGCCAGTCGATGCCCCCCGCCGAGTCAGTCGGCGACGACGACGACGCTGCCGCTGCTGCTGCCGCTGCGGCCACCGCCGTGCGATCGTCGTCCAGTGCGGCGCTATCACCGCCGCGGTTGCTGTCGCCGTCGATGGCGCTTTGGAAATGACGGCACCCAGAGAATCCTGCCTTGCCCGCGGCAACACCGGCAGAACGACCGACCGCGTCCACCGCCCGTTCACACTCTCGCTGCCCAACCCAGGGAACAACACCGCCGCCGCCGGTGCCACCGTCCATCGCGCTGCTGGCCACCGGTGCACAGCGTTGCTGTGAACTGGGCTGGTGGGGAACGCCATCCGGTTAGCGGCGTCGCTTTCTGCCGCCGCCGCAGCACCTTTGGATCCGAGGAGACGCCCCGTGGCTCCGGCGTCCACTGCACCGCCAGGGCGCCGCTCGGCGGGGTTCACGCTCCGGCCGGGGAAGTCCAACGCGGCGAGCCCCGGCGAGCGCTTCGGTGTCGTCGTCGTCGTCATCGTCGTTTTCCACCGCGGGCAGACCGGCGCCAGGCATGGGCGGGCACCAGGTGGCCGCGGGCCCGGAGCGGTGGGAGCGTCCGGGTGGAGCGCGTGAGTGCCGAGGCCAGGCCACGCGGTGGGCGCCAGGCTGACCAGCACCGTCCACAGGCCCCATGCCCAGAGCGGCCTCACGCAAGACATCTGTGGGCGGAAAACGGAGTTGCGGTCTTAGAGGAAAAAAACGCGGCTCTCGTCACACGTGCCCAAGGTGCTGTGCCGCGAGTGAACCACGACACTTTGCCGATCTTGCCGTGGCGCATAAACCATCATCGTGCGAACTCCGGTCATCCTCACAGCAGCGACGTCGGCGGCTTTTGGCAGTCACCGCGTTGCGCACTTTCAGATGCACTTCTGCAGCCATCTGGAACGCTCTTCCTTCAGATAGTTGGAAGCCACTGGAGCCACGCACTATTACATCATCTATATTGAAAAACTAATTTCTAATTTCTTTACCACGGCTTCTTGTGTTTCGTTTGTTGTCCTTCCCCCGCACACTCTGATGGGCACAATGTCCCGTCTTCATAGCGCGCGATAATATTAGATTTTATTACATGACATGAAGTAGGACCGTTGCCCGAAACGTCGTCTGTTATACATATTTTTTCCCTTTAAGACAAGACACACACACACAGACGTATTGAAGAACGTGTCGAGTGTTTGATGCTGTTAGTGTCATCGTGCACCACTGTCAACGCAGCAGCAGCATCACTAAATACTCCATTTAATAACATAATAATAGTACAGGCTGGAAAACCATGCTGCTTCAAACAGCAATAACTACAACAACAACACAAAGAGGTGTCAAAACAACACGGCCTCTGTGCAATACGCAAGCAAAGAAAACAATCGCCATTTCCTGACAGCAGCAGTGATGCAGTGGCAGACATCACTGGGACTCTTCACCGCAGCGTAGATGAAACCGTTCTAGAGTTGCCTATCCATGCATCACTGCTACCTGTCATTTGGGTCACATCCGTCCAAAAGTGGTTGTCCACATGTTATCTATGCCCCTTGCCAACCATTGCTGCCGTTCGGGGTCGCCACCTTTGAGCTATGCAAAACTAAAACGAATCAAGGGCAGAAGAATATCTCACAATACCAGAAGAGGGGGAGAGCTCAACACCAATGCATGAGCTTGTAAAAACGATTCTGATCTCCCACGAAGCTCATGGTCCACCCTAAATAGCAGACACAACCCATGGCGGTCGATGCCAAGATACCCGATGGACAAATGGAACATGAAAAAACTCTCCAGCAATGTGCGACTGTGGTCGTCCAGAACAGACCGTACAACACGTGACGACGCAATTTCCCAATCCACAACAAACAATACGGCGATACACTCTGCTACTCCTGACGCGGTTACCTGGCTTGACCACTTGAATGGGAAATTGCAGTTGTTGCTCGACATCTACATCAGCAGCCATACGAAATGAGAAGAAGAAAAAGAAGAATACGATTGTTCAAGTGACAAAAACTGGGCCAATTCATGTCCCGGGAAAACGTAACAGATTTCCAAAGACAGTCAAATGAACAAGAGGGCGATCCTGGGAAAACTCAACCAGAACAGGTGGGCAGCCATCGCTAGGCCGCTGTGAAAGCACGGCACGGTCATCGGAGGTTCCGCAGTTTCTCCGCCGCCTTACTTGAGAGGAAGGTAAAAAAACACGTGGTTGATCTTAACAGCTACTGAGTTTGAAGGCGGTGCAGCTGCACTGAGAGGACCACAGAGAGGCCACGGGGGGGGGGGGGGGGGTCCAGGCACCGGGCTATGATGGTGATGGTGGGGGGGGGGGATTATTGGACAGGTAGACGGTGGTAGATGGTGGTGGACGATTCCATTTCACCCCTTGCACTAGGTGGGGGGGCGAAGGGGCATGCCAGCGACGGTAGCGCTGTGACGCCGCCGTTTGAAAAGAGTTTCTCTCGAAACTTTTCCTCTCGCGCGGCACTCCAGCAAAACGCGGCGACGAGAACCCGGAAGATCCAAAAGGTGTGTGGGGGGCGGGGGGGAGGCAAATTCCCAAGGCAGCGCGTGGCGCAGCGGCGTGCCATCATCGCTCCTCGCCCAGGAAAGAAAAAAGTCCATCAGCCAGATTAATTTGGCCGCGGGTCAACTCGACTCCGTCTCCGGTGACTCAATTTGCGAGAGTTCGGCCAGCTCAAACTTTTCTTCCCACCTCCACGCGCGCTCCCCCAGTGTGGCTGAGCAGTCAGTGAGCTATCTTGTTATTTCATACGTCGTGTTTTGGCTGAGAATTAACACGATACATCCAAGTAAACGCCGGCACGCAAAGCGCATGAGTAGTGGTGTCGCCGGGGCCCTGCTCCCGAAGTGTGCCGAGATGCAATTACCACTTTGCCCGCTTGCAAGCGTTACACACTTTGACGGCCCCTGCACTTGGGTCGTGAAAAAGACCCATTCATTCCAAGTGTCAAATTGTGCAATGTTAAACACCAACTTGGGAGAACAGTGCTTCGGTGGTTAATGCACGAATGCGTTGAGTGCCGTGAATCCAACGACCTTGGCTGTCTGATTGTTATGCAAGTTGCCGTGTGCAGCGGGTAGAAAACACTCTTGTAATTTTTTTTTGGACAATCGCACATATTTAATATGACACACAGTACACACTCACCGACCGCCCCCCCCCCCCCCCGCTACCTGACCAGCAAATAACCCAACAGGGGGTTGGGAGGCCTTCATCCAGCAGTGGATTGACAAAGGGCAATGGTGGCTACGCTGTCGCATGAGCATTGCCGGAGGCAGCAGCGATGTGTTGGTGGTGGGTCACCGAAAAGATGTTGCGAAAACTCCCGTGTGCGTTGAGGTACCATACTAAGCTGTATAGCTCTTTTCAGAAGTGACCTGGCCAACAAATGGCATCTCAACAAAGTGGCTTATCACGTGGAAATGAATTGCAGCCAAATACTCTCAACTCACCGTTGATTCTAAATGTGGAGGGATAAACCGTGGGACCTGGAGGAAAAATCCACACGACCACGGGGAGAGAGAGATGCAAACTCCAAATATACAGCAGGCGTCAGGATCGGGATTAAACCTACGACCTCCTGTATACCAGACGAGGTAGTTAACATCTCGCCACCGCAGCGTTCAACGTTGTTAACCCAACGTTGTCATTCTTCACTGGGTTGGCAGAATGGAAATGGTAACTCGTTATTTACAATTAAGTTCATTATTCCATACTCACTCCACCCCTCTCTTATCGTCCCCTCTTAATTGCATCATCTTTATCCCTACCTACCTGCAACAACTGCCCGAGGTGCACAAAGATGTGCAAAGACAAAGATCCCCCGTAAAGCCTTAACATACTGTCGGGGCAAGTGCTATTCACGAGTACCTATAATGGCCGGCACGGCACACGAGGGGGTGGTTGGCCAGCACAACGCCCGGCCGCCTTTGTCTCCCCGGTGGCGATGTTTACACACCTCACCTAGGGGAGGCCCACGGCCGGTCAAGATAGTCGTCACTGGTGTTGGCCGTGAGCAGGAATCAAACCCGTGTCGCAGAGTTCGTAGCGCAGTGCACTAACCGCTACGCCACCTCTCCCCACACACACGCGCACACACGCGCACACACGCGCGTACACACGCGCGCACACGCGCGCACACACGCGCTCACACACAAGCGCACACACACGAACGCATGCGCTCTGCCACCACGTTGGCCAGCTGCGTCCCTCCAACGGTCACCCTGCAATTTTGAAGGCGGGTAGATAGAGTAAATATTTCTGTTGCACGTAACGCAGAGCCACCCAAAAACAGGCGCGCGTTTATCTCCCTCCCTCCGTCTCTCTCTCCCGGGGGTTCAATTTGATCGGCAACCTGGGGAGGGGGGGTCACGAGGGGTCACGGGAAGCCACACGGCTCCGCGTGCATTGTCCGTTCACAACGGCCATCACACCGGGGCAATTTCTCCAGGACTCCAGGAATAAAATAAGATAAAAAAACACCTGCCGCACAACATTTATCTCGAAGCCCAATTACAGCTCACGGGTCTTCACCGTTTGCTTGACGGTGATGAGAGATTTTTAAGTCGGCGCAACGTAGCCCGAAAATACGCGCGCGTTTTCCTCTCTTTTTCTCTTTCGTATCATTCGTTCAAGTGGACAATTCAGGCCCGGTTCGTGACATATCACGAAGCCTGACTTTGGAATAATTTCCGATGAGCGGACGATATCCATGGCAACGTTGGGTCAACGCTGGCCACAAACCGCTCCCACCGCACGCTAGCCGAGATCGACGCCGTATTTGCCGGGCTGTCTCTCTCCGCCAACACCCTGAACCCCACCCGACACAGCCAAACAAATTAAATTAAGTCACGCGCCGTGAGCGTTCAACATGGCGCCAGGCAACGTGTAATTCTACCGGCTCGCCGGTCGATTCGAAGAGCCAAAAAAAAACACTCACAGGACGAGAATCGGACAGGGAGAGGCTCTGCGTTTGATGATCCTATTTCGGCCGCCAAATAGGATCATCAGTATCTTTACTTAGTCTGGACGAATCCGATGAGCGTACGAAGCCCTTCTTTCACAAGATGTTCAGCATGGGGCGGGTCAGCAAGTCACAGCAATGACGGAACACGAACTGGTTTAAGAGGAGGCCGGAGCCAGGCCCTGCCTTACTGAACCGCGCTCACAGCCACCACCTCGTGTGACCCCCCCTCCCCACCACCTCCTTGCTATCGAAGCGGTAAGTGGCCGGGTGGGAAGAGAGCTGCCATGTGAGGGTGGGAGTTGGGTAAGTCCCACATCCCAGCAGCTTCCCCCACCCTCCCAGACCTCAAACCCCCTCCCCCACCCGCCCCTCCCCACATCCCAGATGAGATGGACCATGACCCCACGTATTGTCCGCTTGCCTCCCTACCTCGCACCATCCCTCCCCATCCCATATCCCCCCTCCCACCACCCCGTGCCGTTTCCATGACGCATCACACGAGATGCTCTCTGCCGTTTGGACAATTATTATTACGACGCTTCTTCACTCGGTGAAAACAACGCTGATGAGTCTTGTGATTCTATTTTGGAGGGTCCTGTCAAGTTGTCACGGTAAAAGAAGGAGGAGGACGGGGGTGATAATGTATTCCCAATTGAGTAATTTGCGGTGTCATTTTCTTCCTGATT